TTAATCTGTAAGTATAAAGCTAAAACTAATATTCGTTGACTCAGTATTACAGTCATGTACTCGCATGTCAAGGTACAACAATAACTATATAATTTTTTTTCATAGTACACAATACATTCTATTACAATACAGCAAGGAATATAGTAAACAACTATATAGATAAAGTTTATAATTTTAGATATAAACACATAATTTCAGTGGCACAATCAGGATTTTTTGAAGGGGAATGTCATATGTCTGCATATTTAAAAAACCTATTTTAGTAAATTTATAATACTTAAACAAGGATGGAGACCCCCTCCAGTTACCCAAAACATTCCACACCTGGTTGCACCTCTGACATAATTAAAACGTATAGTATTACTAATCAATAATAATAAAAAAAAAAAACATATAACTAACTTTTAATATTCATGGAATAAGTACGATATTTTTAAGTTCTTAGTTTTTATAAAGAGAGTACGAGGATTCGAGAGTTGGCTCTTTTTATTGGCTTGACAATCTAGATGAGTGCTATGGAAATTTATATTATAACGAGTTCAAATATGCAATTTGAAAATATTTTTTTTAGTTTCACAGCGTATTTTTTTTATATTTCGATAGTTTTTAAAACTAATCCTTTTTACTAGTTTTTCTCCTTTATGAACCACAGGTGAAAATCAATTTTTTTCCACTATAAAAAATAGTTCTGATTTAAATAATTCGGATTTATATTCTATTATCTATTTGTGCTGTTACTTTTAATGAATTGAATGAATTGATCTGTTCTTACCCGTAAGTTTAATAATAGACCGATTCGTTTTCATATTAAAATTAAAAGCACAGAATCGTATGTAAAATTTGACATAATCCAATTTTCAACATTAGCCGTATTTATTATACAATAAATGTGAATAAACGTGCGTTTAAGTATTAAATATTCATGTACATATTTAATACAATATTTTTATTTCATTTTATTTATCTCGCTGGTCTATAGGATTTACCTCTTTTATTATTATTATTTCTATACTGGCATATGTTTTGCTGGTAGAGTAATAATTGAAAATTATATTTTATTATTTATTTATTATGATTTTACTATTTGTATATAAAGATGAACAACAGAGTTATTCGATTATTCTCTTATTACTCCGTGACGTTGCATACAAAAATGTGTGAATTGGATTTAAATATAGGTATATACATAGTACAGTGTCGAGTATCGATATCGTTTTTTTAATGCTATTTTTTAGAAAAATCTGTATCTACTAAAAAGAAAAAAAAAACAGAGAATTTTTAGTCACCAAAAGTGTTTTTTGAGAAAATAAAATAACAAAATACACATAGGCAGTTTTGTCAGTATTTAGAATATTAAATTGAAAATTTATTTGTTTTGCTTAACCTTACTAAACGGTCTTGAGAGATTTATGACGTGAATATAATTTTAAAATTTTAAGAAAGAACTGCAATATCTTTGCAAAAATATTAGAAATTTCTCGTAATAGACGAAAATATGTAACTCTTTTAAAATTATAAATAAAATACTATGTACTGATATAAGGTCGGGAACTTGGGAATGATTGTACTAATTATTTATACTTTGTTTATATTATATTATATATAACATTATTAATAATTAATAATTGTGGTACAAGCGTCGAGCAGGGAATAGTATTTATTTGTATATATGTGCCCTGTAGTACAGTGTATCGGAAAAAATACTTTCGGGACGTATAGTTGAAATAATATGCTGAACCGCTGAAAAGCGTAATCATAACAGTATTTTAAAGTAGAACTAGAAAAGAAAAAAAATACTTGTCTGGGTAAAGGATGAATAGTAAATTAATAAGTATTAGAACACCTAAAACCGATATATTATATATATTCAAACACTTCACCATATATTATTTAAGCAAGTACCGAGAGGTTATTGCGGTTAAAGAGGTTTTATGCGGAAATATTATCGTCAAAGGGCGATAATTAGAAATAGATATACGCTGTTTTTCAAACGAATAATCAAACGAGATTTTTTTTTTTTAACGGCTTTCTTTTTCTTTTACCAGACCGAGCGACCGTAAAAACGTATGTGGAAAACACATTAGGACTCGAGAGAGCATGTGTCGCAGCCGTACGTATACACATATTTTCTCGCTGGGCAGAATCGCGCGACCGAAAACTACTTCTATTCCCATACCGGATTATTGTTTATTGTGAGAACTGCATAATATAATATCGACGGAGGGGAAAATTTCGTGTTGGATTTTTTTTTTTTAAATTTTTTATATTTTATTTCTTTTCACGCCGTCTAGCGCACGTATATTATAAATATGCGATACGATTTTGAACTTCATCACCGTCGTCGTCGTCGCATACCGTTCCGGCGCTGTTTTTATCGTATTTCGCCGTACAGAAACTAACCGCAATAAATATTATTTGCCAACAGCAAAATACAAAAAAAAATAAATATTTTTTATAATATATATTATTCTTATAACTTATAATACGACCAGTGATGGAATATTATATTATCAAAGTAAATATATGTATATGAATTGCTTACGGCAGAAAAAACACATGTTCAATTTTCAAAATTGTTCAAGAAAGACAAAAAATCTCCTTAATCATCAAGAGTTTTTTTAATATTTTATAAAATTACTGTAGGAACTATAACGCCATAACTATATTATAAGATATCAAATTAGTAATTAACACGAAATTTATCATTCAATTTTGTTCAGTGATACTAAGTAATTTTGTATTTATTGAAAATTATTAAAGTTCATATAAGACGTTCAGGTTAAATTTCTACAGTTAACGTGATGTTCATGATGTTATCGCCGTATCCAAGACGATATTAATTAGTTTTAATGCATATTATTTTACGTATAAGTTTTCCGTCGAATCGAAATCATCGTCAATTTTTTAGAATATTTTATTTTGAAGAGGAAAATCGAGTTACACGACAGCAAATTTCTCGGATTTATAAAAAATCTATTTCTTTGATAAGATGGACTTTTTACCGGGCGTACGTATATAACCATCGTAATATCGGTAACGGTACTGTAATACTATAAATGTGTATAACATAAACAATCAGTAATCTTGATCTTTGTTACACACATGACACGAGGAAAACAACTAACTAGTTAAACAAGCTTCGTACAGAATCGTGTTTTGTTCGCGAGGATTTTAGATTTGTATTCGCTATTTAAACTAAATTACCCTATAATATATTCTATACGTTTTCAATTTCTTACTTACCCGTTAATCAAGATGCGAAGTGCCCGAGTGACATTTTCTTGGTTCTAGGTCTAAGAATTTTTTTTCAATATTCTCAACACTTTTTTGAAAATTGCGCTGTTAAAAACACGTTATTGGTCAATGAAATGCTTCCGATTATTTCACTCGCTAACTTTTGGAATGCGAATTTCCACTCAGTGATATTATTTTGTTTGAACACACATTTTTAGATTTCAAACTATTATAACTCATAAAATAGTAAATCCGATACCTATCGTAGTTATATGCATGGGTATCAAATGTTTTATAAAAATATTCTTTATTCGAATCTGTTTTAAAAGAGGGACGATTATTTTTAAATTCAAAGTGTATACTTATTTCATTTATAAGGATTACTGGTAAAAATTTGAATACAAATTTTAGTGTTGAAATAAAGCTTCACTCGTGTACATTTAATTCTATAAAATGTTAAAATTTATTTGAAGTGCCACACCCAGGACGCGTGCGCTACAAACAACCGCATCCGTCGTTATTTTTGAAGATGCACAAATCTCTTTCTTAGTCTTTGATGGTCACCCTGTAATGACTAACGACAACCGGTTGACAGGAATAAAAATGCAACGGGTCGAGGCGAAAGCGAAATTGTTTTACAATTGCGTGCAACGATTCTATTCCTTTGTATGAATTTAAAACACCTGCGGCCTGCCCTACCGGGGTCGGAAAGATTGAAATAACTAAACGACTAGCTTATTATTCAATAATGATTTAATTCGCGATTTCTGTGTCACGTAATAAACGTACTCGAGGTGAGTCCGAAGGTAACACGAATCAAACTATACGCGTCGTACCTATTGTGTATCACGTCTGCCTCTAAAAAAAGTTTGTTATTTTCTGTCAACTTCAATTTTATTGATATTCGATTAAATTCCATTTAATTGATTGTAATTTGAAAGCTACTTGTTACAAAGTTCGATAAATGCACAAAATTGAATTATATAATTATATAATTATATACATTAAAAAAAAATGAATACCTATACTGGCATGACAATTTTAAATTTTCAAATCTATACATTTACTTAAAACTTAAATGCTAAAGTATTGAAATACTGGAAGTCTTGGTGGGTCATATAAATAATGAAATTTTAAAATTTAACACCACTCCCTCCGAATATTTTCCTGGTTACGCTACTGCATATTACTATTATATTCCGAGTGGAGAGAAGAGACTTATGGTTTTACAATGATGTTTATTTATTTTTTATTTTTATCTGTAAACAATTTTTCTACCAGCAATTTTGCTCAGATTTACAATGATAGCACTTTTTCTGAGAGGATATTTGACTGGGGAGAGCTACTTTAGGGAGTTCATTTTTTGATTTTCATAAGAGTTTTCTCGATAAATAGGAAAAACTGGGAAAAAACATGAAAAACCGGAAAAACGGAAAAATAGGTACAATATTAAACAAATATTATTGAAGAAAATGTTTAATCCGTATCTATTTATTTTACCATAATGTGACACATTTTTTGTTGACAAAGCAACACTATCAACTTAACTTCGCTCAGAATCGTTTTTTCGTCAGCAATGGTTAATCGTTGTTTACAAATATACATTAAGTTCACGTCTGTATCCTACCTTCCCAACTTCCCACCCGTTCCTATTATCCTATAACAGCTATTTTTATTCTGATATTGATACAGATGCGTTTTTTTTTTTTTTATAGAACAAAAATACATTTTTAAAGAACAGAAATAGGAAAAAAACCGAAGAATACATGAAAGACAAACACTTGATGCCTTTACTAAGCCATTTGATGAGCATGTTATTATTATATAATCCCGTCGATCCCTTGGCTTTTCTGGTACGGCAGATAAATGAAATGATTAATTTCCGCGATGATCCGGATAAACCTGTACCGATTCTGTTCAACGACGACGATTTAGCAAACGTTTTTAAAGGGATAGACTTTATGAATCGTGGATCGATCGATCTGAAACAGTACTTCAAAGGTGAGAGTTTCATTATCAAGTCATTGATCTTTGATTTTATCAACCACGTGGTTTTTGCGGTATTTAAACAGAATTTTCGAATATTCTATAATTACTCTACACCTACGCCAATAATTAGTGCCCGAATATAAGCCTTTAGAATTATTTGAATTTATTTCGTATATTTATAATATTATTTGGACGTGCACGTGCTTATAAATTATGATTAATTAAATAATTATTATCATTTGTAGTAATAAACCATTTTAAAGAATGTATTTGGTTTTAATTTTATATTATATACCTATAGCTATGAATACACTCGGATTAAATTTAGACGGTTTCAATCGATATCCAGAAGTTGACGAAGACAATCGAATCGAATGTAAAGTGTTCGTGTATGAAGCGTAAGTAAACAAATTATATAATATAAACAATATATGTATAACACAAAATATATAGTTTTAAAAATATTTTACGAATTCATATAGAAAACTCTACTATTATTCAAATTATTTGACGGATTTATATAATATACGTATATACAGGGTGATTTTTTTTATCATGAACCAGTAATTATCTCAGAGGATTTTAAGTGAATTTGATATGCATTATGATATGCATCACATTGATATCATAATTTCTAGAAAAATATTCTTTATTCAAATCAGTGTTCAAAAAGGGGGAGGGTTCCTATTTTAAAATCAAAAGTAATCACTTATTTAAGGTAGAAGGGGTAAAAAATTAAAAGAGGTTTTAAAATAAAGCTTAAACGAACGATTGGAAAAAACAGAAATCAAATTTACTTAAAATCCTCTGAGATAATTACTGATTCATGATAAAAAAATCACAGTGTATATATACAGAGTGATTCACTAAACGTGCTTGCCAATTTTTTTTTTTTAATTTTGAATAATTTATTAAAGTTCTAATTTTTGTAATTTTTAAATGTAGTTAAAGCCGACATTTTCGAATACTTAGATTTTTTACAGTATTTAAGGAATTTCCTGAGTTGATACCAATTTTGATTTTTTAAATGAGAACCTATAAATGAAAAATTCCATAAATAGACAGAGTATTATTTTAAATAAATTTTGATCCAAAATTGTTTATTTCTGTCAACCTGTTGACGAATTATTTCACTTTTAAGTTTAAGTAGGGGAAGGGTAGTGAAAAACTAATAAATGCCGCGTGTCGTGCAGCCATACAAACATTTTAACAACGTAATGTAATACTCCGTCTATTTATGGATTTTTTAATGTAGGTTCTCATTTGAAAAACCAAAGTTAGTATCACCTTTGAATATTTCTTAAATGTGAAAAATCTAAGTATTTGAAAATATTGGCTTTAACTGCACCTAAAAATTCCAAAAATTAGAATTTAAAAATATGCAAAGTTTAACAAAAAAAATGGGGTGAGCACGCTTAGTGAATCACCCTGTATATAACAAATATTCATTTTCAAATAACATTTATTATACTGGAGATCACAATACAAAAAAACAAAAAAATACAATGATATTAAAGAAACAAAGCGATGTTATAATTCTTTGTTCCCAGATGGCAAACAAGGATTTAAATAAATACTAAATTTTGCATAGTTTTCAATACAAGCAAATTAAATTTTAAAAGTAAAAACAACAAATGTTTTACTCCCGGTTGTGATATCAGAAAAAGACTTCATATTATGTTGGTAGGCTACTGTTGTAGGTGAGAATTTGGGAAGGTAGAGAGTAAATTAATTGTACACAACGGTTAATCTTTGCTATGATTCTATGCGGAGTTTGATTGTACATGTTTTAAAAGGCCGCAATACTTACGATTTGAAAATAATACATTTCGTACATTTTCCCGTTTTTCTTACGTTTTTTCCTGTTTTTCTCAATTATTATGAAAATCCCTGGATAAATCAAAAAATTACCTCCTTAAAGCACTACTCTAGGAAAATTCTTTTTCAGAAAGAGTACTACACTTGGTGCTTCGGAGTAAGATTTTTGGTAGAATTTTTGTACACAACATAAAAAAGAAAAACAAAAAATAAACATTATTGTAAAACCAATATATTCTTTGCTCCGCTCAGAATCTAAAATAAAGGGAATTAAATTAAATATAACGAAATTATAAAAAAAAATCGATTTTATTCCTGTTCCGGGACCAGAGATATGTCATTAAGCCATATCATATCGTATACAGTTTTTATATAATACAAGTTGTTTTTTTTTTTTTTTATATATAATATAGTGTATTTTCATTATTTTTATATAAATATAAGTTCATATACGCGTTTTAGATTCATGTTATATTTTTGAAGTAAAATCCGATAATTTATAAAACACGTTAATAATATGTTAAATTTTTTGTAGAAAGTTCGCGTTGGTAAAACAGTTGACCAAAATAATAATACTACAGAAACCGCAACAATAAAATAATTAAATACCTATGATATGGAACAGCAGTTAACTTCAATAATTATAATGGACCTTTCAGAAATTATTTTTTATTTTTCCAAACGGCCGACTGTTTTTCAGACTTATTGCGACAGATTAACAGCAGTTAGGCATTTTAAGATACTGTAGAAAAGTATTTTAATGAATTTGACTACACTTTATGTTTATTATTTATTATATACCAATATATGTAAGTATATAATATTAAAATTTGGTAAAATGTAGTAAAATACAGTTCTACGTTTTCTAAAATGTCTAACTGCTATTGTAGTCTGCCCACAATAAGTCTGAAAACAGCCGGCTGTTAGAACAAATATAAAGTAGTTCTCAAACGGACTAATCCACAAAAAGCCTAGTTTTTTGTACAAAAAGATTGATTTTCCATACGGTCTACGATATATACAATATGGACACGTGTTGAACCGTTTTATCAAACAACAGAAATGGAAACGGAATTATTTAAATTAGTACCTATTGAAAAATACAATCATGAGAAAATGCATTCTTAAGGGAATATTACTGTAAGTAATGACAAAAATGTGAATGGTTTTTTTTTTTCTATGTATTACTATAATATGTATTTTTATAGTATTTATTTAATATGTACATATATATATATATATAAGTAATGGGTCTCTCGTGGGTTTAACAGTTTACGCTCGCAGCCGGTTATTTAATTTAACCGGGGTGTAGAAAAAACATCAATTTTTTTTGTTCATTTATTTTTTTAATGTAGAGCACATCAGACCAAGATGTAATACGTACATAAGACGCATCGTCGTTGTCTAATGTGCATAGCACCGGACAAATCGTGTGAATAATTCCTGCAGTTAAAATTATAATATAATTTATATCGCGAGTATTCCCAGCTGATTAAGACAATTGATATTGGGAGTGCAGGCATTATTAAATCTGACCGTCCGCCTACATTTTAAACACCGCCATCATTTGCAGTGGTGTGGTGAACTATTTTACCATTTTAAACATAAGAATGTTCGTTCTTAAACGAACCCGACTAAATGGTGTATAGTTTATATGTGTTATGTATATTTTGTAAGTTAAAAATCCAAGTTTTTTTTAACACATATATTAATTATTATATTACGCTTGTTACTATGTATTATTACTACCACGAGTAAAGTAAGTAAAATATGTTTAATATCACTATTCAGTTTCATAATAATGCACAGTTCATAAATTTAATAATAATGTTTTAATAACAATGAAATTGTAAAGTATAAAACGCCATTAAACCATAAACCATATATCCTCTCCTCCTTATAGTCCTCATGAGTGCACCTTTTGTAAGTGCCTTTAAGCCACCTCATGAATATTATGCGACTATCACAATAATAAGGATTTTCGAGAAATACGTGTTACATATTGTAATATCAACAAGCGAAACACATTCAATTGAACACATCCGCGTTTGTACATCACCCCCGTTCCAAACCCTTTTTATTGAGGAGTATATTATGTGACATCTCTAACTCTCGGTGTTTACTATACCTACCGGTCGACTGACCGGTGTGACCTAGTTCCCGAAACGATTACCCCAATTTGTCACGGTGACCAAAACATACCTGGTACATTATTATGATTTTATGATTTTCGTGTATAGGTTATTGTATGTATATATATACGAATCGTGTACTTTTTTGTGTTCGCTTGTTGTTCAGTCAACAAAGACGCCCGACCCCATCGGGAAAAGGGTTTGTTCGGAATTTTAAGCGGAACACAATAAAATTCGTTTCCTATATACTCGTATATTTGTATAATAACGATTTGTACACGTCTGTGTCCTGCAGTTATTATATACATATATATAGGTACCTTACCGCTCGTTTTATAACAGATCCCGCCGCGTTTTTAGTGGACGCGGTTTGAACGATGTGTGAAACGATCCCGATTCTACCCGATGTTGTTTATGACCAAGTGTGTAAATAAAAAAAAAAAAAAAAAAGACGAGTCCTTCAAGCGGCCGAACAGTACGATCAAACAAACTAATAATAAAAACTTCCATTTACAAGTATTATTGGTATATGTAACCAAAAATGATATATATTATCGTTTTAAAAAAATAAGAAAAATCATGAACTCAATAAGAGTTCCCGCACGTTTTTTATACGTATATAATATATTATACAGGTTCTAGTCAAATAAATCGAAATCTTTGTAATCGTGGCAACAAAAAATGATGACACGAACATGTAGCGTACAGATAACCGGAGTTCGGAATTCAAAATATTTTAAATAAATTGCTAATGAAAATTTACTGTAATTGGTTATAAATTCGTTATAAATTAATTGTCCGTTAAATGACGATTAGTTAATTTTTGGAATTATTCTCTATTATCAATATTCACTATATATTTGTAATATTAGGATTGTAACAATAAGCAACAATTATTTCGACTTTTTTGAATTTTCTTGTACTATGTTACTCATTTATAGTATTCGTCTTCAAACACTTCAAAATTCCTTTGTAATATTCTTTCTACACTAATGATATAAATACGTTATTTTTTGAAGCTGTAGAATTGGCGGTTTATTTTTGTATTTTTATTACAGAGTCCATTATTATGATGCATAAAAATATAAATAAAAATGTAAATAAAACAAAACGATTGACGTGACGTTATATAATATGTGATAACTATTAACTGGTCTTATTTAAAACAAGTTTTACGTAAAGGATTTACCTAACCTAACCGACTTTTTATAAGCACAATGATGAAATATTGTAATATTGTATTCAATAAATTAACTAAGTACAGTTAAATTTGTTAGTTGATTTGCTGATAATGTTTGATCGCTGAATTCTAAAACAGCTTGGATGTATGTAGTACCAAATTATTGGATTTCATTGTGTGCCTTGTATAATTATTATTGTTACGAAGTTTTCTTTTTTTTTTTTAGACTATTCTCGTTATAATTTTTACTACCGGTTTATTTCAAAAAAAAT